TGTCACAGAATAACCTAACTGATGCATCCAGGGAGCTCACATATATGATAGCAGGAAGACAACCATTTTCAACCATAGCTCTTTAGTAGCTGGGTATTTTAAGAGCTAAAAATGATCAGGGAAATAAAATGGAGTAGTCTGCAGATGATCTATGAATAGGAACAATATTTTGCAATATTTTATTATTGGGGTCTCCTGTATAGATCACACTATGGCAAATGCAGAAATATATCAACTAGCTTCCCAACAAGGTAATTTCAGTCTACTGTTAGGCCAAACAATCAGTGTAGTGGTGAGACACCAGGTTAGAAATTGGGAAATCATCAATTCTAATCCCACATTAGGGATACAAAGCCAGTTGAGGGTCAATCTCTCTCTAATAGTCCTAGGAAGGAGGCAATGGCAAATCACTTCCAAAATCTTGCCAAGAAAGCTAGAGGCAATTGTCCAGGCAGTTGCCAAGAGTCAATGCTGATTTGAAGGAGAAGAAACAAAACTGTTAGGCCAGGGTTCTTCAAAGTGCTGAATATTAACCCTCCGCCCCCAGGATTGATGGGACTATCCATTTTCATAGTTATTATTCATAGTGTTATTAGATAAAATAGTATTTAAATTATTTTCATAAAATACATGTTTGGAGATCAATGAGCAATATGAAGTTTCATGAAGGGGGTCAATAGGCTGAAGAATTTGGGGCAAGTGTAGATATCTGAAAATCAGCTATGAATGCTGATTAATATAAAGTTTTTCAGTTATTTATTTTACTTCAATCCATTCACTAACTGGTATTTTCATGACAGATAATGCTGCTATTAAAAATGTAAAATTAGTTAGGGTACAATTAATAAGTAGCACTGTAGAGATACTAAAAAGGCTCACTTACTACAAGTTATAGATGTTTTACACTAGATATAGATATAAATATATAAATACATATATACATTATAGATATTTTACATTATTTTTACATTTTTAATAAAGAGGAATGTTTTGACCTTGACAGTAAATTAAGGGAGGCTCAAATGTGCCTCCCTGGAAAGAGAGAAAAGGCCTCTACTTTGTGGCTAACCACAAAGCTCACTCATCTTGGCAAAAATCCTGAACGACGAATTTGAAAGATGACAGACACATCAGGAAGACTCTTCCTTTGAGATATTTGTTTTCAAGCCATTCACTGCTTTAAAAATCAGCTCAGCAGCCTTGACTTAAACTTAGAAATGACCCTGTAGTCAGTGAAATGGAATCAAGGGTTCATACTAGCCAGTCCAATTTTGCAGTTCTATTTTAATTTAACTGAAGTTTCCAAATAATCCTGAAAAGAGTCCCAAAGGAAATCCAATTCAGAGGAAATAGCATGAACTACCATATTTTTCCGTGTATAAGACGCTATTTTTTCCTGCAAACACCCTGTTCAAAAATCAGGTGTGTCTTATACAAGTGCAGTGTCTTATACACGGAAAAATAATGGCAACCTCTGCAGCCCAGGGCATGCCTGTGTGGATTGCCATGCTGCCTGGTGCAGGTGTCAAGCCCCTGTGGGCTTGCCACTAACGGGAGGGTGGAGGGGGCAAGATCGTCAGCCGGCCGAACTTCTGGATTTGTCAGCTCAGCTGTTCGGCGCTCCGCCAAAAAGCTGATCGGCGCAGAGAAACTCACCTGCCAGAGCGTCTTATACAAGGGTGCATCTTATAGATGGAAAAATACGGTAATTGTTTAGTAGTGATAAATTTATTTGCAGGAAACATAAAATTGGGATCAAAACCATAACTTTGGTGTGGTGGCTTTAACATTTGGCAATGGCCACATTTCTGGGCAAAGAAGAAGAAGAAAAAAGACTTGTGGAGCTTTTTTAATCAAAGGAAGCAAGGCTGGGAGTTATTAGTAAGTGATGAGTGAAAAAGAGCTTTGATTCCTCCCCCAAAAATAGTTCTAGTCTAGTTGATTTAGAATACCTCAGTTCTTTTTGGGGACTGAATTGAATTTGGAACTGAAATTTAAATCCCCTCTTGGCTATTACTAAAAATGAACAAACAGTCGTAGGGTTTTATTTTGTTTAATGTTCAATTAATTGGATGAAAATTTGTTGAAGTTGAAGTTTATTAGAAGATGAAGGCAGCTCAATTTCTTTAAAAAAAATGGTTCAGAGGTTTCTTGTAAAAAACAACAACAGTATTATGGAGGGCACTCTAATGACTAATTTATTTATTTGTGGAACTGAATAACATTTTCAGACATTTTATTTACCCTTCTGAGATGAAAATCAAACCAATACATTTCTATCTTTTAATGGACAAATGTGAAGAAAGTTACAAGTAGGCTAGAGGTGTGCCTATCCATGCAATCTGAAACTTTTCTGAATAACAACATTGCTTTTCTTTCGGTTTTGTGGAAAGACATTTTTTAGATTATCTTTAGATCAATTCTTAGACCTTGCAGTGTGTTTGTATACATATGAAACTCACAATCATTAGTGAAAGCCAGAGCTAGTTCAGAATCAAATTAATTTGGATGAATTTATATATTTATTATGTCCAAATCATCCTGATTCAGTCTGGGAGATGTTTAAATCTGGAATACACTGTGTAAAAATGTCCAGTATTACAGGTGGTATCAATAATAATACTTGAGAAAAGAATACTTGGTGTCTTTTTCATAAAATAGCAAAACGGTCAAACAACATAACATCCAAAGAAGACTTTCAATACTTTTCCTTACCAATTCCTTTAGATGTGATTTATCTTCTGCTTTATCTATTGATGGCTCCGTTGGCCAGCAAATTTGTTCTGATATGTCCTTAGCCTCAAACTGGTCTTGACTTGCTTTATCTGTCTGCTGCTGGCTTGCAGAGATTATAACCAGGGGGTTCTGTTCCAGGGGGAACTTATCTTTTAAAGGTTGGCTGCAGTTGTTGCCACCACTCATTGTCTCCACTGTTGCTTGAGGGATACTTACAGACTCCAGCTTCTTAACAATGGCAATTTTCTCAATAGTAGAATCTATATAAAAAACAAAAGGCAGATATACAAATCTTATAAGAAGAAGAAGAAAACAATCAAAAGAAGAAGAAGAAACTGTATAATTAAAAGGCCAACTATTCTAAATCAATGTTCCTCAATATGAGACTGACTGCATATGGTGATAGTTCCAGTGTTATGGCAATAGTTCCAGTGATAGTTCCAGTTTGGAAGGCATCATACTGGGATGGCAGCTTCAAATTGCTAGGCAACCCTATCTGGGGCTGAAAGCTATAGAACGCTGTCTTTTCTGATGAACATGTCATTTCTAAAATTTTTGCTAAAATATGAAACAGTAGAAGAGCAAGTTAAAAGAATGTATAATAAAATGAGTAAAAAAATTGACTATAAGATACAATTGAACTATAGGAAAATATGTGGTTGAAAGGACTGAAATTTACATTACATTCTAATCTCAGAGCTAACTTTTTATAAAATGATGTATCATTTATATTTGTTATCAGAGAAATTATCTAGAATATATAAAGTTTTTCAAACCTTTGCTGAAAATATGAACAAGATGGGAGATTTTATCTTGCTTAGTGGATATGTAAGAAAGCCAAAACATTTTTGATACAAATACATGGATTAATGCAGAAGATTTTAAAGGTTAAAGTACAACTGAAATCAGAGACTTTTCATTTGGGAACTAATGGAAAAGCAGCTGGGAAAAAAAAGTTGTGGAATGAGATTCTTTATACTCAAAAGTAGAAACAATTGACACAAGCTATAATGGAGAAATGGTGTGTGAATATTATGGAAATAGTTACATTAATCTCTTTGATTAGAGAAAAAAAACAATGTCTACATTTTGGCTGACTGGAAACCTATGGACCTTTTGCATGAAACAGAAAAAAATGTACTTATGATTTGTGATTTTGATGAAAAAACCCTGGATAATAGAAAAAAGTGAGCTGTTTTGTAATAATAGAATAAGGGTGAATTTTGCAATTGTATTGCTATTTGATGCAACTAAATTGGAATCTTCTTTCTATTTTTTTATGGTTTCTGTATTATTTCTTTTTTCTTTCTTTTTGTTTTCTTTACCATTTCTGTTATTAGTTTGTGTTATTTTTATATGCATTGTAAAACTTTAATTAAAAACATAAAAAAGATAGAAACCCTACTATACTGTCATGAATGGGTGTGTTTTATCTTCGCAGATCAAAAGGCCTCTTCATGATAACTAAATCAGCTATGCTTAAAGTCTTTCAAGAGGTTGATTAAAGACCCATGTGATAATAAGTAATAAAACCACCTTGTGGAGACATAGATTAGCCCCACGTTTCCCAGAGATTTGTGGAAGTGTCTAACTACACATCAACACAGAGTTAACCATAATTTCAATAAGCTTATATACACCCCATCTCTTTTAAAATGTGGCAGTATTCAACCATGTCTACAACAATGAATGTCCATGCATTTATGAAATTTAGTGAATTAATCAGACATCTTTCTTCAGAATGAAGAAAAGTGCCTTCAGGCGCTTTTCCAAAGCGCCTGAAGGCAAGAGAAGGAACAACATGTAGAAACTAACCAAAGAGAGAAGCAACCTAGAACTAAGGAGAAACTTCCTGACAGTTAGAACAGTTAACCAGTGGAACAATCTGCCTCCAGAAGCGGTGAATGCGCCAACACTGGAAGTTTTTAAGAAGAAACTGGACAGCCATTTGTCCGAAATGGTGTAGGGTTTCCTGCCTGAGCAGGGGGTTGGACTAGATGACCTCCAAGATCCCTTCCAACTTTATTATTATTATTATTATTATTATTATTATTATTATTATTATTATTATTAATAATAATAATAATAATAATAATAATAATAATAATAATAATCTGCATAGAACAGCAAATGGAAATGTTCAAATCTATGCTTTAGCATGCTTTTTCTTTGGACAAGTAAACAGAAAGAAAAACAGCCTGAAAATGAAACTTCCAGACAGATATATATGTCTGGTTTTTAAAATGAAAATGATTTTCTATCTTGGTTATGAATGGAAGCCATCTTTATTTTGTTACTGGATTTATGCACTTCTCAATTTGAGTTTATCTTAAGGACAGATAATTTGAAGTCAACTGTGCCTGAACTGTTATACAGCTGTGAGATGAACAATGCCCTCTAAGTATGCTTGGCAGCATAATTATATGTAATAAGCCATGATTTCTTCTCTACAGTATATACTGGTGTGCCCCTGATTTGAACATTCTACAGATACATGAAACTACCTACATTTTGCCAATAATTATTCTTGCTCCTCCAGTATTTTTCATACATTTAACATTATTGCCATCTCACTGGATGTGGCACATACTGAATCTGGGTTCTTTTACATATATAGTGTATGCTTTGGCAAGGAGTCATGATCCTTCATATTCCAACATCTCTAAATGTATAGAGTTTTTAACAGTTTCAGGCTTTTAACTTCAATGATGGCATGAATATTTTTATTGCCTAAATTTTCATGAGATCATTATCTTTGCAACCTCCCACTGGGTTCTTGTGATATCTACAAAAGAAGTCTAGAATTTAATGAGATCTCACACCAGAATCTCTGAAAACTGGCCATGAGATCTCTGAACATCAGAATCTTTGAAAACTGGCCATTTAATTATTCAAAAACATTATTTCATTTATTTGGCGAATCATTATAGATATTTTAGAATGTAATAGACACCCTAGAACTCTTGGAAACTGTGTTGCCAGCATCTGCTTTAGAGGTTCAGGATATTGCAGTAATCTGATTTAAAAGGAAATCTAGATCTATAAAATAGACATATAAAATGCGACACTCTGATTTTTTTATTATATTTTTAATGAAAAAAGATTTAGAGAGGAAAGCAATTTGGGAAGCTTAACCCATTACTTGCCAGGAGCTTTCCTGCTTCAATTGATCCTTTCTAAAACTTCCTTTTGTGTTCATGTTCTTCCAAGTACACGTAATAACTTGTTTGACAGTTAATTTCAGTCTACTACTGAGACTTCCCTTTTGTTCCATTAATAACTAAGTAAAAAGATCACTCCAGCTGTATCACTGCAGGCAAGGTTTTCATAACATCCTCAGGCTCTGGGATCTCCAATACAAAGTCACTCATGTGTTCCTAAAGACACTCTGTTCCACAGGATATTTTTAACAATTTTATGTAACTGGAAAAAAATACCTTACTTTTCTGATTTTAAATAACAGAGCCAGGATATAAGATTGATATCTATTATTTTGAAAAATCTCTATATTATAAAAATGCTAAGATGCCACAATGTATTGCTCTGTGATTTAACAAGCTTGAAGGAGTATATCAATTTTAAATTGCTATTGATAATTATGACAAGGATTGTTTTTTTCTGTTAATTAGCTTTTCTTTTGCCAATTTTAGTTTTTTTTAACCACTATAAATATATCTAAGTTTTCACTAGCAAAAAGAATAAAGGAATGGACGGACAGAGAGAGCAATAGGTACTCAGGGAAACGGGCACTTTTTATCGGTATGCTCCCACCAAGAAAGCAATGTTGTGAAAAACCACATGTGGCAAATATTTTGCTCTCAATAGTTCAAATATTTTCTATTATCCATGTTGGGGGTCTCTGTTGTGAACAAATTACTACAGTCTTTTCTAAATCAGGGTGCACAACTGTTACCAAATGTTGTTGGATTATAAATCTCATACTTTTGATCATTTGCCATGCTAGAGATAAGTTGTTCAACATCTCCTGGAACATCATCAATCCTTATTCTAAGCTTACCTGTTATGGATTTGGACTCAGACTTCTTTTCTTCCTTTACTGTAATATGCTCTAATTGGTCATGGTTGTCATCTTCAGGGACTAAAGAGACAGCACTTTCTTTTCCCAGAAAAGAACATTCTTGAAGGCCAGAGAAAGCTGCTTTGTCTTTAACAGGCACACGACAAGGTGTACTGTTGATACTGATGACTGCAGATACTCGAAGGGGCACCGAGACAGCAAAGGGCTCTGAGATATTCAAGGCTTTATGTTGGTGACGGGGAGATGCTTCCAGGGGGAATAGTGTCCCATGGAATCCCAAATTGGGTGTCCTATCATTTGAAGTATAGAACATACGGCACATCTTTGGGGACGTTTGCTCATTCTCAGGGTCTTCAATGGGGCGGAATACCTTCAGTTGCTCAGGAAGTGGTTTCATTTGGATTGGCTGTGGAATATGGTTCTCTGCATTGTCCTCTGCTCCTCCCTCTGCTCCTTTCATGGCACCTTTGAGATCCCACTCTGTGTCCTGTTTGCTGAGATCAATTGAGCTGCTAGGTCCTCCCACTCGTGGTTTCATCACTGGAACAAAAAACCCTCCAGTCACGATTGTGCGCTTGAAATGACTTTTTTCATCCTCTCCTAAGGAAAGAAGAAAACGAAGATGAATTTTGCCAATCTGGTCTCTCATAGATCATCAATCTTTTTTTGGCCTGGATTATTAATTTGTTTCTTTTTTTTTTTAATATTGAATGGCCACAGACACATGTCTGGTGAAGCAGTGACTCACTCATATTTATGGACCAGGGAAAGAAGAATCTAAAGGGATTTTAAAAGAAAAAAAATAATGGTAGATTGATACTATTTTGCTTCTTTGGAGTAAAATTAATACCACAAATTATGGTACAACCTTGGGATCAAAATGGACATCTGGGAGTTATCTGAGGACTACATGAATGTTCATTCTAGGCTAGTTTGAATTCTTGGCCAGATAGAACTCTTCAGTCCTATCCTCTATTTCTTTTAAAGTGCACAGAGAGATTAATATGCCCTTCAAAAGTCTGTTCCATCTTTATAATGGCCCAGAAAAAGCCAACTTTCAGGACATCTTTTACATAAGCACCTGGTACAAACCATGATGAGGAAAAAAATGATGAGAATTGTGTTGCAACATCATGATGAAAATTCTGGCCTTTCATACTTGCATCAACGTATCAAATACAAGTACACAAATGACAAAGTTTGCATTGTGAAATTATGATTTATGGTTATCACTTGTGCCAGCTCACAAATGCTATAATCCTGTGGTAAATACTTTATTGAGAGTAGTCAGGCTGACTTAAAGAGAGCTTTTTCCTTGTACGCTATTTGCTAGGCAAGATTCAATTTTCTGTTAGACCACTAAGCTCTCCCCCTTTACAATTATAATTTCAAAAGCAGTCATCATGATCTGCTTTGGTATCTGCAGATCTGTATTGTGTATCCCAGTCATGGATTTCATCTACTGGCTATTTGGAAATAGAGATAGGGAAAATTATATTCAGTAAAAGAGAAACTTGGGGTAAAGGGAGTATGTTCCGCTTCCTCCTTGATTCTCTATCTTTTTTTCTAAGCCAAGGACACCAGCCATAAAATTGTTTTAAAAGATGGAGAGGATGAAATATAAAACTTGGGAGGCGGTGAAATAGGGAAGAAAATGAGAGAACCATTTACAGTATATTTTCCCTCAACCTTTCTCTGGATCTCTGCAACATTTCCTCACTCTCTCCGTCTCCCTCTTCATCTCTGAATCTGTTAAGGTGGATTTCACACACCCCCATGAAGAAATATGAAAAAACTCTCTCACTATTCCCCCTTCCCCCTTACCCCCATAAACTGCAGTTGTCCATTATCTTAAGATATTTCTTGACATACCGTAAGTCATACTAGTGTGATATACACTAAAGCAACAGCTTGCCACAAAACCACAATAAGGTTTGTCTCTAGATTGTTTTAAACATAATTTTAAATATAATTTCTTATAGCCAACCTTTCACTCTGGAAAAATGTTCCCATGTTGATCAAAATAAAAGAAATATCAACCTATTTTGACATTGGTCCAATTTTTAATCAAAAGATAATCAAAAGGTTTGGTTAGAATTCCTTAATCCAAGACCCAAAACTGCAGTATCTCAACACTAACAACAATCTAATTTCTGAGGAAAAATAAGTTCCACAGTTGTGGTTGGCATTCCTATGAATCCAGTCTTCCTCTAGTAATTGGATGATCCCTAAAACAGGCTATTTCTGAAAAGATGTTTTATGTTACAGAAACAAAAATAAAGGGAGAGGCATTTCTTGAGGTTAACCAAATCCTAAACCATTTGCAGCTTTATATATTAAAATTAATCATCTGAATTGGGGTTGATCAGAGTCAAATAATGCAGTTTATTAAGAATTTATATTAAGTGGCCTTGCATTAACTAAGTACTGTAGTCTACAAGTTTGTAACTGCCTTTGGCACAGATTGCAAACTCTGAACCATCTTCAACAGCAGCTCCACACAAAGTGTATCTCAGAAGCATAGGAGATTGTGAAGCATGGATTACTGTGGAGAGGTTGTTCCTATTCATCTCATAAATTCCACAATGAGAAAATGGCCTCCGCTAGTGGTAGATGATACCACACAGACTAGAAAATTGTCCTAAGATTGACAAATCTCTCTGCATAAATTGTCCTAAGATTGACAAATCTCTCTGCATAAATTTTTGAGTAAAGTATCCTAAAAGAAACTCCTCTTATTCAAGCAACTGAATACATTTTGCATAAACAATAGTGAAAATCCTGCCTTTTTTTTCTTGAACTATGAGTTCATCTAGAAAAAGAAGATGATGGAGAAAAGCAAGTGACTACTCCAACACTCTCTCTGACCATAACCCAACTAAGTACTTTTTGGTGGTTTTCCAACCGGCTGATTCTATGAACAAGACTGCATTTGCAGGCTACAAACCCCACAAAATGTTTTCAGTAAATAAACAGATGAATATAAACAGATATCCAGTAGGTCCATCAAAATTACAGAAATTTAGCTTCTCCTATAAAAATGCTGAAAGAATGGGTAAATCTTTGACTTTTCCATATTTGATGCATACTGACCAAGCCTTACCTTCTACTGGAAGTGAACAAAGTGAATCCATGCTTTTAGCTGGTCGAATGGTTGCTTTCTCTGTAGAAAGAAAGGATGTAAAATGTTTGAAATATAACCACACATACGGAAATGAACATTTTTAACAAGTGCAGCTGCAAAGCAAAAAAAGATTCAATATCCTGAGAATACATACAGCTCTAGCTTTAATTTGTAGCTAAACCTAAGGTTTGCCAGCTAGCAAGGTATAAGAGGTGCGATGCTTTCTTAACTTTTTTTTTAGCACAATGAAAAAAGGCACATTTTATTCAGTATATTTATCTGCCAAAATAGAGATACGATTTTTGCAAATATTTTTTTGAGTTGCTTATTCATAAACAATGAATAATTGTGCATTGTTCTTTTATTCAAGGAGCCCGCTATCTTCTCCCTAAGCAGAGTGTTGGGCTGTTAATCAAGACTGGATTATTTTCCTCATCCTTCCTCATTGTGACAACTGTTTGGACACCTGTCCTTCATGTAAGGTACTTATCTGGTAGTAAATATATTTTTTTCAAGAATTAAAAGCTACTTATAGTAATTGTATCTTCTTTGCTCTACAAGGATTGTTGGAGGGGAGCCAGTACATTTCCTTAATAAGATACTGATTATCTCATAAGGATTCTAATCAGAAACCCCAGACAAGATGAGATGGACACATTTTCTGGGACTCCTTAATAAAACGACTGGCCTAGGCATATTCTTAGTAACAGCTTGGGCAGACGCACATTTGACCTCTGCCTGTGCATGCATTCAGCGAATTCAGAAATGCATGCTCAACACAGTAAAATAATAGACAGTATTCACAGCAAGAATTTCATAGGCTTTGGGATATGACTGCCTTTTATTGTCCTACTGAAGCGATACTTGGCATGATGCAAGAGGTTAAATATGCAATCTCCCCCCATGCTGTTGTCAAGCATCGTTCATACTGGCTTTTAATCCTTGTTACTTTATTAGCATGAATGATCTTTTGCAAAACGCTGGAACATTTTTTTTTTCCTGTTAGGCAAGGCCAAGCTAAGGAAGAAAAGATAAGCTATATTAATGAAGGCCATTGGGAGTCTTTACCAGAGACTTTTTGTCCTCGAACAAACACGCTTCCATTGCGGCTCAGTTTAGTCTTAGCTTCTGATCCTGACCGCCCCAGATTAAAAATAGACTTCCATTTCTTGGACTTTGTGGATAATTTTCTCCTAAAAGATAAAATCAAAGATCTGTAAATAAATAGCAATGGTTAACAGTTAAGATTAATATGTTTTTAATGTGTCCCTTTTGTTTGCCTTCATTTCCTCTCAGACTTTATTTTACCGCTTTTCACAGTTGTAGCCGAGCATCTCCAGCTAAAAAATGGATCAGGTAGCAGATGGTGTGAAGGCTTTGATTTGAAACACAGGGGGCTCTTGCCATCAGAGTAGTCAAGAGGCTAGACAGTTTGACCCAGAAAATGACTGCTTTCCCTTTCCCACTAATTATATATGTTACATTATGTATGATGTGGGAAATGGCCCTTTATGACTGGCCAACTCCACCCAATAAAATTATGGGTAAAATAACATTTGACGTCAGGCCTCTAAGTTCAGTACAGTCTGCCATTCATGCTAATGCTTTATGGGATTCAGAATTTATTACTCGTACAAAGATGTGGTTATTCGGACCCTAATTTATATTATGGAAACATGATCAAATGCCACATGCCAACAGCAATATAAGTATCTAAAAAGTACCGATTACAATTTCATTAAGGCTAGATAGCATAAGTCTTACATAACAGCTTATGCCATCTTTCAACGGTATCTAACTATGCATAAGAATAAAATATAGACATATTGAATACGTTACACTAATAAAGAATGAAGATTAAGGTAGATATTGCAAATGCAATTGGGAAAGGTTACCAGTAGGTGGCTGTCTCACCACAGGTGCCTCAAGTCTTTGCCTTCCACTTCTGCTGATCAAACATTTGAAATGAAGCAAAACAGAAAAACTATTCCTGTATCCATCTGTCTGCCTGATACTGGAGGTACTGACATTGATCAGGGCTTTAATGTTATCCTTCTTACAGCAATGTTGAAGAATTAAGGGGAAAAGCCTATGTATTTTTAGCACATATTCCAAGTTTTGACATATCTGTAAAGTGCTGGGGAATATGGTTCTTCCTCCCAAAATTGCACTAAGCTTACTCATGGAAGCTATCAAATGGGTGATGGAGTGTTTCTTTGATAGGGCTTGGCTGCACACCGTTATAGTTGGTGCAAACTGGCTGCACACCAATTGCATCTAACAAGATGTCTCAGAGTACCAAAGAAGACAGGTTAGACCAGGGATCCCCAACCCGTGGGCCATAGCCCACTAGTGGACCATGAGGGGATTTCAACCGGGCCATGGAAATGGCCAGCGAGCATGCATGCACGTATGCACACACATCCTCACACAAGCAGCAGACACGCACATCCTCACTTATGCTGCTCATGCAAATGGAGCTATGTGTGCGTATGTGCATTTGCCAGCTACTCGTGTGGAACCATCTCCTCTTCCCCCCCCCACCGGTCCGCAAAGCTGGAAACATTGGGGAACTCTGAGTTAGACAATGATAGATCCTTGGATGATATTTATTTATTTATTAAATTTATATGCTTTTTCAGGGCCCTATTTGTCTTTTGTGTTCAGTTTTCAGATATTTAAAAAAAGGAACACTTACTTGCTGTCTGGTAGATCAAGGACGGTATGATAAAAGGAGCCTGTGGCTGGAACAATTTCTGGCAAGCTGTTCTCCCTTCGTTCTTTGCGGGCAGGGTGACAGGCTGAGAGGCTTCGGGCCTGAGCTTCTTCCAAGCTCACCAGCTTCATTGGCAGAGAGGTGGAAGATAAAGTTAGGCTCTTCATCACAGGTTTATTCTCTGGAAAACAGAAGGAAAACACATTAGAATCTAGCCTAATTTGGGATGGGATGGAATGGAAGGTGGGAATGGGAGAGAAAAATGGAACAGCATTAGATCTCTCAAGCACTGCCTTTAATGAATAAACTTTGCCAGTGAGATTGTTTGCAAATGTGACTGTTGAACAAATTCACTTCTTACCCAATAATGTAATCCAGCACCCTGCCTTCTACCCCAATAGTCCCTTGGTCAGCAGCCATACTCCACAGTGCCTTGGCATGCATCTTCTGAAAATGAGGTTCTTTATTTGTGCTGAACTTTGGGAAGACTAAGGTCTTTTTCTAGTTTTGAAGATGAAGCAATTCTTCTCTCCCATTCAAATTATTTTGGAAATTTGTTCTGAATATTGTTGCTGTTTTTCCTATTCAACACTGACTGCTATTGTTAGAAGGAAGTAGGAAGTTGCAGCCCTGGAACTCAAAAACACACACACAAAAATCCTTTCCCAGTTTCAAAATTGGCATTTTAGCACTTCTTCTAATTAGCTGTGTGATTAATTGATTTATTGGAAAAGGCTTAGCAAAGAAAGCTCACCTCCAAACACACTTGGAGGACAAACCCAGATTAAACAGGCGTGAAACAGAATACACCTGAATAGAAAGGGGGGGGGAAGTCTAATGATTGTGTTATTATACAATATGAATAATGGATTTTGCATTTAATTTTAAATACATTTGGATCTTGTTTTAAATATTATATAGAAACTATTAAAATGGTCTCTTCTGAAAGCTTTTATCATGTTCTACACCATTTATATAGAACAGTTTATAAGGGAGCCTAGGACATTCTTATAACAGGTCTGCAACTTTTATTGAGTACTACGCATGATATGTGGTGAAAATAATCCCTTACTGAATGTTTTGCCACTAACAGCTGCCAGAAAGGAACAATTTAAAGCAGCCTGTCCACCCAGCAGCTGCAACTTATGAGCCCGTACTATTTACACCTTTTTTTCTTTTTTAAGATTGTTATGGGACAGAACTACTGCTAAATTGATTTTTCAGCATGATGGCTGTTCTAGCTAGTGAAACAGCAGAAGGATGGGTTACCACCCATAGGTGGTAACGTGTTTGCAAAGAACTTTCTTGGCACAAAATATACTTTTTGCCATACTTCACTTGTTTTTAAAAAATACTGTTTTAATCCAAAACTCGATGTGTCAGAAACTGACAAAGTAAAAATCAAGGTGTCAGCTGCTAATATAATTTCTTTTCCCCAAGAAGGTTTCTGGTCTTAGCAAAAATAAGTGTGGTACTTTATTTGGAAATATTCCCACATGCTCAGGAACAAGACAAAATAATCAGGGATCAGAGGACATTTGAGACACTAGTGATGTCAGGAGCAACTTCACCGGTTTCACTATCTTCTATTAAATGGAAACTTTATGCCTGGCCATACCCATCAATCTGTGGATGGAGAAACTGCATGACATTCATTTTAGTGATGGCAGTATTGTCTAATATTCAAATGTGCCCACCAGCCCATTAAAATGTCGATTTATGATAGTTGATAAATTTTAACCAAGTACCTCAGGACTTTTCCTATACCTTTTTGGTATGATAAGTTACTGTAACAACATACATTAGGACAATGTTCTCCCAGCTGCTAATTCTCTTTTCCATCCTCTCTCTCTTTGCTTTCTCAAGTAATCAGATTGCAAGATCAAGAAGAAAGAGCAACAAAAGAGAGCAATGAAAACTGAGATTTCTCTCTAGATCCCCATAGTTCAGTCTTCAATGAATAAGAATCTTTGGAACTTTTGTTCCAATGTGAACTGAGGATTTTGTGCCTTTATTCCTTTTGTGCATAAATTAAGGGTTTGGTAAATCTTCATCTTCCCAAACTTACTAATGGTTCTGAAAGCAATTTTAAAAAGTCTTAAAGGACAAAAAAGTTATAGGTAGTCCTCGACTTATAACAGTTCATTTAGTGACCATTCAAAGTTACAATAGCACTGAAAAAAATTAACTTATGGCCATTTTTCACTTATGACAGTTGCAGAATCCCCATGGTCATGTGAGTTACATTGACAACTGGTTCATATTTATGACAGCTGCAGTGTCCCAGGGTCATGTGATCCCCTTTTGTGACCTTCTGACAAGTCAATGGGAAAGCCAGATTCACTTAACAATGGTGTTACTAATTTAACAACTGCAGTGATTTGCTTAACAAATGTGGCAAGAAAAGTCATAAAATAGGGCAAAACTCACTTAACAAATTTCTCATTTAACAACATAAATTTTGGGCTCAATTGTGGTCGTAAGTTGAGGACTAACTGTACAAATTGAGATAGCAGACATTTGTCCACTATTAGTCAGGCTTTATATTAGTCGCATCAAAATAGTCCATGGTTAAATTCTGTTTTAAAAATTATTCATATAGATGTCATTCATTTCCTTCTTCTGTTTCCTTTTTTCAATAGAATCAGGATTCAGGTGTTCTGAATGAGTACCCCAAAAGACCTAAATAGTAAAAGTAATGTAAATAGATTATGTGCTGGAAAGAATTAAGTTTATTGGCCAAAAGAGGTCATTGCTGATATAAGAGAAAATAGTTGAGAAGGAATTACCTTCATTATCCTTTGGCCTGACACAAACGTTGTCACTGAAGATCTCATCCACATGGTTCAATATGAACTCTATCACCAACTGTTGGACTCGCACTTCCAAGAAAGCTGCATCTCCATTGCAGCCCACCGCCTCAATCTCCTTTGATCTAAGCACAACCAGAAAAGCAGTTAGAAGAACAATGAAACATCACACCACCAATGGACTGCTTGTGAACAAGAGAATTAAATTTCTTAATAAGCCATGTCTGCAACTGTAATAGCAGTAGAGATTTTATCCACAAACGCTTTTTGTTTTGCATTTCTTTCATTTATCCTCTCTTACACGACAGACATGCATAAATCAGTTATACACATTACACGATTTACATGAAGTACCTTTTAAATGACATGGTCTCTTGTCTATAAAAGAATTAAAATAAATGGTTGACATACCATAGTCAATTTATGGAAAGACAGAGGATGAGGTTGATCCTTTAGTCCAAAGTACCCTTCTATTTACCAACATGTTGTTGGGTAGCAAAATAAAGCCAATCACACAGAATCTGCACTGCTCACTTCAAAATACAAAGAGTCAGGGTAGACAATTAGTTTCAAATTGTCTCCAGACAAATGTTTTAGGAATACCATGCCACAATGGATGCATCATAGACCAACACTAACAGAGCTAAGCTAAAGCAGAGTAATGGTTTGGCCTTAGAACCATACTTGCATACCTTCTGTTCAAACAAATTCTTCTCCCTTCCCAGAAACTAGAGCAATTGGGTATTAAGATATCCTCTACTTGAGTTCATAAAGTTTTCTTTGAAACTTAAGTGCTGCGCAAAGGGGACAACTTTTTGTAAAGGTCCATCAAAGCCTTGGAGAGCCAGGAATCCTTCAAAGATGCAACAAAAATCTGCAGGCAGTCTTTAAACACTGCAGTGTGTCTTTCAATGAGCAATTCCCCCCTCTTTTCAGGACTAGACTCTGAATCTGGGAGAACATCTTAAAAGAGAACTTCCATGGGCTATATTCTGCTCATAATTCTTTATTATTCTTTTAGGTGAAACAAATGATAATAATCAACTTATGGTGGAATCAAAATATAGGTTTTTAGAAGGACAGCAAGGGAAGAATTAAAATGGATCACAGATTGTAGCTGAAAAGAACAGTTTCATGAGTGGAACTTGCAGCTCAGAACAATCCTGGTGCAAGAACAGTTGTTGTATAAAGAAAAAAGAAATCTCAAGAATAGCCCACCCAGTAAAGAGATTCAATTACCTAGATGGGTTTTTTTGTACATGGATTAGTGTATTGATTTGCTTAGTTAGCAAAATGTCTTTACTAAGCTTTTATAAAAAGAAGACCAAAATATATGAACAAAGATGAAGTACAATATAGCAAACCGCTTCCCTAGACCTCATTAAGTCAAGATTTGAAAGAATGTGACAAAAACTCCCATTGATTTCACTGGCTTTTATCAAATGTTGCAATGGCAGTTTTAATAATCCTTCCCCTAAACAGTATCCTTCAGATGTGTAGCCTTCAACACCCATAATTTCTTAAACCTAGGAGGACAGTCAGTCAATATGGTACAATGATTAGAATATCAGATTAGGAACAAGGGGCTCCATGTGAAATCTCTCTTCAGACAAGAAGCCCACAGTACATATTCTAAAGCTAGCAAATATTTCTCCAGATGAAATAGATTTAACATAATATCTAATGAGTCTTTTCTTAAAAGGGCAATTAATATCAACTGGAGGTGGGGACATGTCAAGGATAATGATGATTATAGCTGCTTTCGTTCTAAAGCAAATATCAGTTATGAAAGAAGCATTTTCCATCTCATCAGATTCCTTACTCCAACTGATCCTGTTAGCATTTTTTAAGCTGGCCAAACTAAAGCATGAACATTCAGTATTGTTGTATGAGATGAAATGGGCGGAGGAGGGGAATGCTTGATCGTCATTTCAGCTTCCTAAAAGAACGGTAAGATGAAATGCTATAAATCAACAAGGCACCATTGTTTTATGGCACACCAGACAAATAAAATAGCACAAGACATAATCAAACATAAAACATATCTCAGCCAACAATATTATGTCAGCAAAAATAAACAGCATACACAAGCAAGGATTGTTTCAGATTACTTCAAAGAACATTCTGATGAAATTCTTATCTGAGCTGTGCTACTTTAAATCTGCTGTCTAGTGGCAGAAATTTATGTCCCATTTCTGTACAGCAAAGAGTGAAGACAAGAGTTTTAAAATGCATAGCAAGCACATTAATGTGAATACAAGATATAGCGTTACAGCAAGCCTCCCTCTACTATACCAGATTAGTAGTAAAGATGCAAGGAGGGATGCCCCAGGACCTTCAGAATTCTGCCTAATTATAACAACAGACCTTAACAATCCCTTGCCAAGAGGCATATGAGCTATTTTCTAGGCAACATTCTGATCATTGGTTTAGCAATTCTATGTAGAACTGGAGCTGCTGCAGTTCAAGTTGACCCACAGGATTTAAGTTATCTCTGAGTAAAACCATCACTTCAAAGCATCAAGTGGGAAAGGAGGGGAAAACATCAGAAAACAATTCAGCTTGATGGATTTTGTGAGTTTGGTTTTTTTTTTAAAGTCTGCTTTGTGTTTTTCATCACATTAATGGTTTGGGCCAAATAATCTCTCCTTCTGACTCCAGTTTCACCCACCTATCCAAAAAGTAGGAGCAGATAATTTTTTTCTTATCTTGACATGCCAAAGTGTTGCTGAAGAAATTATCTCTGGGCAACACAATCCTTTGTAAAGCTAATGGCTGAAGTGCTAGATAAAACTCAGAAGGGATTCCTTCAACAGGATAGCCTTGTAAGGGAGGTACAGTTTCTTTTCATTTTCCTTTGGGATCCATATTTATATATAAAAAAGTGTAGCTTCCACCACCCCCACTACCCTACCCCCCAAAAAAAAGATGGACTATGCAGGAGACACAATTAAATTTTGGAGTAGTTCAACAACCCATTGCAAAGATGGAGACAAGTTCTACCTTGTATTTTCTGAGGCTCTAACCCTGAGCATCTTGCTGACCAGATTATTCTTGAACAAACTTACTCTTAGTAGTAGTTCATACATTATGTTGCATACACACAATGGATAATTCTAATGAGAAGCTTGTTTCCAAAACTACATGAAACAAATGGATCTGTGCATAATCAAATTCATTTCAGTGTATTGCTGCTTGGAGAAATACTGTGTTGGATGTGTCCAATACTCTTTGAGAATTATTGCTATACCTAATACTAGAAACTTCAGTACAAAAGTGGGTGTATGTGTGCATATGTGTTTTCCATCTCTTCTTGTGCCTTGCAATGAGGACACCAGATGCATCTGACAAATGGGCATGGTTACAGCATAGAGTTGGGATTTTGCAGTTTCTTTCCTAATTTAGAGGGGATGTGTCTGAGATTTTTTGATTTTTTTTAAAATCTATACAAAGTCTATTTTAGGAGTTATACCATTTTCATGTCCCATTGCAAAATACTGTGGAACTATAGCCAATTTCTCAGCAATCATTTTACTATACTTTGAGAAAAGCTCAAAAAACAGGCTTGGTTCCCTTCTCAGTCATGGCCTATATCAGTGGTTCTCAACCTTTTCTTCACCACAGACCCCCTTTAAATATCTTTTGTGGCCACGGACCCCCAAGACTTAACTGAAGATTTAAATCCTAACATTTCTTCAAGCCTTCAAACCTGTGATGACATCATATATATGTTTTAAAAATAAGTTTGCATGTACTCTTGATTTTAAATATTTTATTAAAATACACATTTTATAATTTTTTAGATTTGCAACTTTTTCAGATATTTACTTTTTCCAAGAAAACATGGTACTGAACAATTTATGAACACCTCATCAATTTTTATGGCCATGGAAATGGGAAAACAAAGAACAAGTTGCTGAGATTCACCTCCACAATCATATTTGATTGAATGCTTTTCTCCCATGGCTGGATTTGTCTACAAAGTTTCTATGTGTACATCTGCTATATATAGGGCTTTTTGTGTCATAGAACGCCCAGAACGGAGTTCTGGCACCTTTTTGGGATGGAACCTTGTAGGGTAGGCAAGGCGGGTTGTATGAAATGTGTGAGTTCCGACACCTTTTTTATTTTTAACAAAAAAAGCACCGGCTATATATTTCCATTAACTTTGTCAGTGTTGCCTTTAGGAAAAAGAAAAACAGTAAGTGCATTTATCATACCTAAGGAGATTAGGTGCCCACACTAAAGCCAGGTTCCTAGTGTGCATGTTGGTCATGCTGCTGAAGGAAGCCAGAAGTGCCAGGTGTTTGCTTAAGTATTCCAGGGTCCTGAAATAAAGAAGTCAAGACAAATCAAGAACAAATATGACTATTGCAATGTGCTGGATAGGTGGCCATCTGGAAAAAGTACAACTAATATAACATGCAGTAGTATAATACTAATGTCTAAACTAAAATCTGAACTGCCAATTATTGAGTATATTTTAAGGCGACAATGTAAACTAAGCTGAATTGTGACAGGATGTGCAATCATTTTGTAATTAGGGTTACAGTGATCTTTAAAAAATAATTTTATTGAAAATTTTAAACACAAGAATTAATACAAACTAAACTAGAGCAAAAGAAAAAGAAAAGAGAAAAAGAGAAAAATGAAGAAAAAACTAAAGTGCAAAAAGAAAAAAAGCAGGAAAATAAAACAGAAATAAAAATAATATAAAGTAGTGGCATCTGCATTATGGGACTTTTGTTAATTTTATACTATTTATTTCTTAATGTATATTTTTATATCTATAGTTTTTATTCAATTGTTGTGTGCCACCCAGAGTAACTTTTGGTGAGATGGGTGAATATACAAATTTCATTAATAATAAATATATGAATACATTTTCTTATAGCAGTTACAAGTACAGTTATAAATTGACTTCTCTCTCTAAAGTTACATTGTGACTCCCTTCTTTCTATAATCTCTACTGTCTAATAATCAAAGCCATAAATCATAAGTTCAGGCTTTTTTAAAATGCAAAAAGTTCATAAGGGATTTCCAGTCACCAATAAATGTACATATTGTCTTAAATTAAAATTAAATTAAATTAATAAATTGCAGCTAATGGGTCACTGCCTATAATCATATTTCCCATCTTATGTCAGATTAAAATTTACAATTACAAATTTAATTACAAATTTAACACCAATTCCCAGTGGGTCTGGGGGCTGCAGCAAAATGTGGACTATGAGGACTTCAATTTCCTCATTCCTCATTCTGGTCTACAACTTTAGCTACTAATGCACTGAGTAACTACTCACTCCTCCTCTCCAGTGAAATATTTGTTTTCTTATTATTATTCTCACTTATCTCTACTGGGAGGCATTGGGACCCCACAAACCCACAATGTTTCTCCCACTGAACATCTGAAACTGAATGAGGAGAATACACAAAATAAATCTAAGATGGGCTATGTAAAACCTCATCTGAATTATCTTGAAGCCACATGTGACTGAAGAGCCAGCTGATTGTGGGATTAGCTACAACAATGCTCATACAGCAAAGACTCAAAACAAAAAGTGTTTTATGAGTGAAAATATTTTAATTGAGAATAAAAGGCTTCCTGGAATTTGAAAATGATGTGATAGAGACCTGAATACAGTAATAAACATCAGTAATAGATGAGTAACCATGAAACAAAAGCACTGGAAGAACATTGCTGGGAAAAAGATGGTCTGGATAGGTGGGGAACAGAGATGATTAGTGCTGATAATGTAACATCCTGTCTGTTTCATTAAAAATGTAACTAAAATATATTTTAAAATATAGCTAAGTTGTTGGTAATTATTTGATTAATGGACTATTAGTGGACTATTCAGTCTTTTAACTAATTAAAAACAGAGAAAGGACAATATTCAGCAACCTCAGCATAAAGAATATTTTTTGATGTTACCTGCCTGCAACCCACAATAACTACTAAGTTTTCTCTTTTACCTATAATGTGATGGTGGAAGTTCCAGGATAACATTTTGAATCTGGGCCAACTGCTCTTTCTCAGGGAAGCATGAGACTGCTTCCTGCAAAGACATCAGCAAAAAGAAACAAAATAATATTCAATTAGTTCACATCCATTTCTTGAAGGTAAAAACAATGTCGTCCACAATATCATTACCAAACTGATGCACAAAATAAACAAACATGGAAATAATAATTTCTGCAGAAACCAAGGAAAACCAGTAGCAGCCTTCCATCAAGTTGTGAGAATAAAATAATTGTAATACTTACTAGGAAATAATGACATAATGAATTTTAAAAAATGGAGTGTGATGGTGATCATTAGCTTACAAGGGGATTAAGCAATTGCACAAAAAATAGATTTGCCAAGAACTATTTGTCATAAGTGCTATACAAAGTTTTCAGTTCAATGATGGTATATCAATTAGTATATTAGGAAAGTACATTGCTTTGCTCACGATCATATTATGAATGCCAAAGAGATCACCACCTCAATCGGTTTTCTCCATAAACTGGTGCTTCCCAGATTACATGGGACCATTGAACACAAAGCTGGTTAGAAAGTATTTTAAAAAAATATTGGCTATAGTAGGACAAACAAAACAGCTTTATAGTGGGTTTATTTGCCCATTTGTCCATAACAACTTGAATTGGCTCTCTGAGGACTGAGGCAAGAGTCCTTATTATTATTATCTGGATATGTCAAGGACTGGAAATGAATCTTCTACATGTACAGCATATGACCTTCAAGAACTGAACATAAATGTCATCTTTGGGCTCCAGTGTGGAATCCTATCGCTAATATAACCATTTCAAAATGGGGATTTTCCACCTCTGCTCATGATCTCTGTTCACAGGAGATAATTACTAATTCTCCCTGCAGGTGCAATTTGCATTTAAAAGAAGGTATAGGTTTGGCTTAGAGTTGTACTTTGTGGCAGGCTTCCTGAGAGAAGAAAATGCATATTCATACACAATCATAAGGCAGCCTCTCCTGAAAGCATGCAATTTTGCTACTTATTTGGACTGTCTGTGATTAGAGGTCAATCGTATGCAACTCAGAACTGCTTGGGAGTGACCTTCCCCCATTCTGTTGTAGACAAATATTTTGGGGTTAGTTATTAATTTCTCCTACCAAATTAGCACCTTAGTTACAAGAAAGTAGTGCAAAATTCCATATTGAGGAATAGAGGGAGATGATGGCTACTTAACTGAAATGCCTTCAAAATCCTTCAAATTAGGAATAAGCTGACCAGAAGTAGACAGTTCAGTCTAGAATTTTGTTTCCTGTCTAGCATCTTGAGATAAAATCTTTAAAAATTCATTTCATTTTTAAATTCTAATATATCTATTTAAAAGACAAGGAGAAACCAGGAAGAAGGGGGGAAATCACCACCAAAAAGAAATGCATTGTTTTAGAAGCATCGCAGAAAGAAAAACATTGGCATCTGTATTTTGAAAGCGCAATCCAATAAAGTGTGTTGGGACATGTGGGAACATAAGACTATGCTGCATTAAACATTAACTATCATAATTAAGTGCCTTTATAGAGGTTGTACAGTTTACACTGCATTATATTGTAAATACATACAATAACGAGCACCTTAGGAATGTAAGTATAAAATCTGACAAGAGCTAGTATATTCTGCTTACACCTAAGGACCATAAAATTAATTATTGAAAGTATCAAAGCTTTCATATTGTTCTCACAGGAGCACAATAAGTAAGGTCCATACTGTTTGATCCCACTTTATAGGCAGAATAAAAGGAGATGAATAGCAATTCAACTAAGACCAGTTATAATGCAGGGATTGACTATGACATATATGAAAAACAGAAAGATCAACCTGAAGGAAACTTTTTAAATGAAAGTCTGCATTGATAAAAAGTGCTGAACCTTTGTTTCTAGCCTCTGCACTGTGCTTATGTATTTATTTATTTATGTAAACAGTGTTTTATGAGGCAGAGGAACTAGTCTCCAGAAATCTTAAAACTTGATTGACAGAATAGTAAAGAGGCAAATGTATGCCATCTACACCTCTAGTTAGTTAAACAATGACACATGGGCCCTAGAAAGAGAGAAAGTTTACCTGGGGGGACAGCATTATGGTTGAACAGAATGCAATTTAATGGGGAGAAATGTAAAGATCTACATAAATATAGGAAGGGGAAACTGGTTTTGTAGAAATGTGTATAAAAAGGATCTGAATCACCTTCTTGACCACAAGTTAAAATTGAGCAAATAGGGTGATCCAGCTGCTTAAAAAGTAAATTCTATCTTGAGGTGGATTAGCAAACTCATAGAACCCAGATCATTGCAATTATAGTTCTACTCTACTCTACTCTTGGTCAAATGTTATTTAGTATTTTGTGCCCAGGTTTGGGCATTATCTTTTTAAAAAAACAATGATAAATTAGAGCAAGTTCAGAAGAAGGCTAATAAAATGGAAAGGGGTCTGGAAACTAAGCCCTATAAAGAATAGAAAAAAGACTGAGATATGTTTAGCCTAGAGATAAAAGAGATGTAATAGCAGTCTTTGAACATCTGAAAACATAACCAGAGGATTCAGTCCTTTTCCCCTCCTTGGATAATAGACTAATCCCCCAAGCATAACAAAATCAAAGTTCAAATAAAAAGATCTTTATAAACTATTAAGGCTCTCATTGACCTTAAGTATACAACTGCAAACATTCAATAATGCAGAGAATAAGTTCTACAGTTGGAATATCTGTTCAATTTTTCTGGAGTATCTACTTCTTGGAAATTCCAGACTTTAATCAGGGATAATGGAAAGATGGAAAATCCCATTTTTTTTCCTAACCTCAGTCCACAGTTTTCTAGAATTCTGTCCCTTGTTTCAAAAACAATCATTTTTTTTTCCAGCCAAAGGAGGAAAGTGACTTAGTACATGATTGATATCCATGTCTCACTTGAGGGAAAATGTACTGGGAATACAGTCTGCATAAAACCTATATTCTGTTTAAATTATGCACACAGCATAAGAACAACTTTTATAACAGATGTTGACAACTGACTTTTTAAACATCAGTACTCATTATTATCATGATCACATTGTAAATATCCTTTATCATATGTCATTTGCTATCATTTCTCAATTAAGTTCACCTTTACTTTTCCAGAAATATAAATAATTCTAATTTTTATTTTGAAAGTTTGAATTATTTCTACTATTTATGTGTAAAATGATGGTGCACTGTAAGTCAGGATTTATGCACCTTACCAGCTGCAGACCAGTAGCCAAAACAGCCTTGAGCAAAATACCCATGAACAAAAATATTTGAAAGGGACTTTTGACACAGATTGCTTGTTGTATGTGGTATGTACTGGGAAAGAACGTAATACTTTTTCAAAAGCCATTACATGCAATTTCTAAATAGGCTCAAATCACATTCTAATATGAACTGACCTCATTTGTATTTCTCAAATTAGAATGAGAACCAGAAAATAATTACCCTTCTCCAAACTGTGTGATACATTTCTTCAAGTAAATGCTATGCACAAAATTTCAGATATTAAAGAATTCTGTGCTATGAAAATGTATATATGTATGTATATACACATATAACTATATACAAAACCATGTAAAAATAATGTGGACATTTAATTTGTATATAATTAACTTTTGTTTGAAAAAAAAAGAAATTGTATAGAAATTCAATTCAATTCAAAGTAGTTCAAATCTACGATCAAGGCCCTCACCTTGACAGAAAATCACTTTTTATGATGATTCTCATTAATAAGATAAGATTAATAAAATTCTGTCATTATGCAGCAATAGGCCAAGTCTATACTGTCATGATCCAAACCCCATTTCTTTTGTATGTACATCAACATCACGCACATGTAAAAATGATGAGAGTTGGGCCATGTGGATGCCTATGGTCTCCAAAGCCAATAGATACCCTTCTTCCAGGTAGTGCCATGTGAGGCAGCTGACCATCTGATGGAACTACTTGTTTTCCTTAAAAATACCTCCTCTGCTTTTACATGGGCCACAAAAAGTAAATGCATCAACACAAACTAGAATGCCATTCAGTTTGGCACTTTCTCAAAGAAACAACTCTATATCAAACAACAATCAGAAGAGAGCTAGAAGGAACCTTGGAGGTCTTCTTGTCCAAACCCCTGCTCAAACAGGAGACCCTATACCATTTCAGACAAATGACTGCCCACTTTCCTCTTAAAAACTTCGAATTCTAGGTTGCTTCTCTCCTTGATTAGTTTCCATCCATTTTTTTTGTCCTACTCTCAGGAGCTTTGGAAAATAAGTTGACCCCCACCTCTTTGTGGTGACCTCTCAAATACTGAAATACTGCTATCATATCCCCACAGCCCTTCTTTTCTCTAGACTAGTCAAACCCAAATCCTGCAACTGTTCTTCATATGTTTTAGTCTCCAGGCCTTTATTTATCTTAGTTGCTCTTTTTTGCACTTTTTCCAAAGTCTCAACGTCTTTTTTGTAATGTGGTGACCAAAACTGAATGCAGTATTCCCTGTGTGGCCTTACTAAGCATTAAAAAGTACAATTCAACTCATTGCTTGCATTTAAAGCTAGGGACTGTACCATACCCTTGGAAAAAAAAGAAGGCAGGGAAAGGATAAAGAATTAATTTACATGTAATATCTTTATTTCCATGTATTTAAAATTTTTCCTCCATTATAATAAAAATTGCTATATGGCAAACAATGGGCTACATTATTCTTATTTTATGTCTTTTGGCTAAGTAATTACAAATGCATTTAAGCTAGATTCAAGTTAAAAGCCTGGGAGTAGGCACAAGATAAAACTAAAAAATTTGAGGAGACCCAGGAATTTTGTTTTTCTTGCTAGTACATACACAAAAATGAAATGCATTGTAAAGTTACAATAACTCCTTCATCCACAATGAAAATAGAAAATAGAACAGAAATATCTCACCGTGAATTTCTTGTAAAGTTCATATGTGAGAAGAGGATTTGGTAGTTCCCTGAAGTATAACTTGCAAAGTGATCCAACACAGTGAATATCTTGTAGGTAAACTTCCCTAGTCAGGTCTGGGCATTGATCTGAACCAAACTCTTGTCTGCAACAACAAAGAAGGGGACATACTGGGCTTCATAAATAGAATGAGATAGAAACAAAATTAACATCTTCATTTTACAAAAAAAGAAAAGTATTCTGATTTGGTAACAAAGATCTGATAATATAATACTGTAAGTCAGGCATGGAAAACCTGCTTGGCACCTAGAATCACCATGGAAATGTATCATAACCTTGAGAGCTACATGGATTCTGCATATTATAGTTTCATATAATGTAATTAGTATGGTATAAATGCCACTTACATGGAGACAATTTATTATAAGCCACAGTTGAACTACTGGCTATAATATCAAAATCTGTCTAGGGGCATATTCATAGAAAGCTACAATACACGTGCCTATATACAAGAAAATACGCATTTCAAGCCACGACCATGTAAAAAAGTGTTTGAAAAGGAAGGAATGAAGCTTTTTTATATGGATCCATTACTTGACACCAGTAAATCAAGCAAAAAAATGAAAAATAATTACATGAGCTTTAAAAAAATAGAATAGGGAGAATTAAATATCTTTCAAAACCCCTGAATATGATCAATATTTCATTTGAAAACAGTGACAATTCTAATGTTTGAATAACTTTGCTCACATTCTACTCTACTGTACCTTCTATAAGGACTCACTGACCCATCTCCTAACACCTCACCTGATAAAATTCTTGGGAAACACCAGTCTTTTTTTATGTTCAATTGCTGTTATTGCATCAATCCAATGTGTCTTTGAGGTAGCTAAATTTTGTTACACTGTCTTCAAAATTAAGCAGACTTTGCCCACTGACAATCTACGACCAGTTGTTAAATATAATATTGTCTTTTTAAATTTAATTTAATTTAATTTTATCTTATCTTATGTTATTTTTAATACTTATTTGTAATGCTTGTCTATGACCATAATATTGGGGGGGGGATCAATATGGCATACAGCTTGGAGAACCACTTCTCCTCATTTGTAATATCTGACAGGAGTTAGACTCTCCAGGTGCCATTAAATTAAGCAATATCATTTTAGAAGTTTGCAGAAACCTGTATTTTCTGTGCTGTACCATTTCTCTGGCACATCATTGTTCCATATGGCCTCAGCTTCATTGACTAGTAAGAGGGTATTAAAGGTCTGACTCTTCCAACAAATTTTGGGTTAAGTGTGAACCCATTGTATTTTATATGAATATCATTCTTTCCCTGACACTATTTTTCTTATTAGCCTTCTGTATTTTACTTTTTTTTTGTATTATAAGCTGTCCCAGATTCATTAGTGAAGTAAATAGTCTTAGAAATTAATGAAATAAACTAAACTACATTAAAATGTCTACCTACAGTTTAAATCACTTAGGTCTTGTTGAAAACTGCCATATAATGACACTCAAGATGTTACTGAATTTATTTTGTAGCTATCTTTTATATTCTAGTGTTATATTTTTAAATAAAAATCAAGGTTCAATCCACATATTTATATTTATAGCCCCCTCATGAAAAACAAAGTGCATAAGAGGCTTAATATGGATTCATTTTTGTCACCTCAGTTTCTGAATATTGGATGTCACACCAGAAAGCCGATAGATTCCGTCCACAATTCCATGAGTCTCAATGAACTCTGCGCAGTTCTTCAGTACTATAGGAACTACAAGAATGAGATAAAGAATTAAACATCATTATTAATATTTGTTACTAAAATTTACTGATGATGAATAAAGATTCAGAGAATGAGACCAATTTTAGAAAAACGTTTTTATGTGGACAAATGTCCATTCTGTCTCATTGCCTTCTTTCAGACTTTTTCTGAAATATAATATTTTCAGTTTCTATAGGACAGTATTTCTCAAATTTGCCAATTTTAAGAAGTGTGCACTTCCACTCTGAGAATTCTCTAGCCAGTCATGTCCATTATGGAGATCAAAGGCTTTTCTTTTAAAATGATGTTTTCCATTTTGTTTTCAATTTTAACTTCTGTCTGCCTACTTATCATACATAAGCAAAATTACAGGGATGCCACTTTATTATTATTCAGCAGCTTGTAGCTATAGTTACAGCAAAAATTAGGATAGTTGAAGTAACTTCAATGGAATCATTTCTCATTATTATGTTAATCAACTTATACATTTCATTTCTATACAAAACACCAGAGTTTCATAAGCAAAGCAAGTTATCATATTTTAAATAAAGTGGCATCATATTTGTAAAGAACATTAAAAAAAACAATACTTGTATCATAATTTCTCACCATATTTGCCTATTTTTATTTTAAAAAACCCACCCAATTTGCAAGAAATAATTGTTCTGAGATTTCTGAAAGGTCTTATCTCTAGTTATCTCACATTTAGAAGAACAGATTTCTTTTTACAAGAACAAGATAGTCTATAATGTTTACAATTGTGGCCTCAAGCACTTACTCCATTCTTTTCAGTTTTATTATATTTTATGGTTTCAGACTATATGAAGGGTGATAATATGGTAAAATATATTTCTACTCATTTAACTAAATAAACAAATTGTCTTATACGAAAAACTCAGGTCTAGCTTAAGAATAAGATATACTTCAATGGATAAATATGATTGCTTAAATAATTATCTTATTATATTAAAATTTTATCAGTTAATACAATTGTTCAAGTTTCTGTAAATTATAATTTTCCAGAAAATGTATCATAGCTATAGATGAATTGATGCTGTTTAATTCATACATGAATTCTCACATTAACAGATATTTACATTCATTTCCAGATTGCTCTGCCATTTTATTCCTATTATAAAAAAAATAGCAAAAATAAAATATTGAAACTTTTAGCAACATTACTAGATTCTGATCTTGCATGTACATAAAGGTAATCTATGATTTGTCTAATCTATATAATATTTGCAAAATATACATGCTGGTTCAGTACAAAAAAACTAAGCCATAGTTTATTCTATTTCGGAATAAAACACAAATAGCTGCATTTATATAATACATTATTCTCTACAACAAGGTTTTTAAACCACAATGGCTATTTTCATACGATATGCTACAAACAAGAAAACCACATTTTAATAAGTGTCATATGCATAACCTGCTATTAAGCTATGATCTATAAACACTGTAATTCTCTTAGCATGCTACACTAAAACCGAACAAGCTGACCTCTGGTTTAATGATACATGTGAACCCACTCTGCATCTTGCATGGAAGATCTATTATCATGGAGGATTTATGTGTAAAACCATACATATAGCCTCTCACAAACAAGGCCCATGTTGTGATGCAGCCCTGCAAATATGTCTTAAAATATGATTTTGTGTGAAAGGTTTTTATATCCACACAGTTTATCCCACGTGATTTATAACATGTGGCTAAAAAGGATATTTTTTCACATCTCTAATATGCTAAATGAACTATACCACAAATGTAAATCCATTCAGACATCTTGATTTGTTGGTAAACTGTAACTCATAGGCATCTACACATAAAAATAACTAAAACCTGGAACTTGGGAATTTCTGGCATATGTCAGGATGCAAGTACATAAATGTGGGATTTATATCATGGCATCACCACTCAGATTTCATTATTTTGACATACTGTAATCTCAGTTTGCTGTGGAGTTATGTCTAGATTCTTAAAATAAGATATGATCTTCCTGTTTCTGGCTTGAATGAACAATAGTGGCTGCTTAATTTTGGAGAAGATAAGATAGTTACAGATTACGAGTTTAGAAACCTCATTAAACATGCTCCATACAATGACAGGATATGTCTGCTCTCCATAAAATCATTATCAGTATAATGTAGCTCCCAAGAAAGCAAAATACTTCAAATTTTGAAATTCGCAAATCATCATTTTTAGGAACATTTTAATGGTGAACTGCTTAACAATGGGAATAAGAATTACATCTAACAGTGAAAACATATTCTCATATGGAAATACAAGAAGAGAGAAAGGCATGTAAAAATTGCCTGGGTTTTCCAGGAGAAAATTAAATCAGCAGAAAATCTTATTCTGTTTACTCTTGTCCTATTTTCTTCCAAACTGGCCAGAAATACTTTTGTTTTTCTGGTTCAAACATCAAATTGCTAAGCTTTTTTTCCCCTCCTTGTCTTACTTCAGTCATTTGATTGGTAATGAAATCTGGCATGCAACCCTCTATTTCCACCACCACGATAGTGAGCTCCTCCCCTTTTTTATGCAGACTATTTCCTGCTGTTCTTCCAGCCTGAACTCTTCTGCATCAGAACAACTGCTTCTTATGACTAAAGTGTGGGTTTTGTGATGTCAAGAAACATTCACCGGACACTCATTTCACTTATGATCAAAAATTATAAGCCTTGACCTCAAGTTCCAAGGATTAAAGGGCTATGCATCAATTTCCTGCAAACCCAAACTTCTCAATGAATTGACTATGAAAGCAGAGGACAAAAATGTTCTTTTTCAGTAACGTCAAAATCCAGAAGTAGTTTAGCTCTCTGACTCAGTACTAGCAGGAGCTGGGCTTAAAATGGTAATCATAGCACACTAAGTACTGAGATAATTTTCTCCTAAATTGTCTGCAGCAGTTCTTAGTGGAAAAGAACCACAACATTAATCTAATTCAGAGAGACACAGAGAGAAGAAACTCTTATATATATTACACTTTTGCAGTAACTGTCTTTGTTTCCAACAACATGTACAAATGAACTAGTTTTCCATTCTTCATGGGGCAGTAGACAGAACTTTTTTTTAAAAAAAGGAAAACTGTTATATATGAGGAAAAGAGGGGCATGGCTGAATTTCCCAATCTACTTATGTCTATAATTGAAACCATACTGGATGCTTAGAAGTTGGAAGAGGGAACCGTGTCACAAAGTTTCTGCTAGTTTTGCCAGGAAGGGAAAAGGTCCTCATTTTACAACCAGAATAGAAACCAGATGAGGAATAAAGAGAGAATATAGGCCCCTAATATTACTTGGGTGAAAAAAACTCACAGTGAACATATTAAGTCATTAAAGCTTTTTTTTAAACTACAGCTTAAAAAATCCCTTAAAGCGGTAGCATGTCAAGGAGATGTTAGCCAATTGTATATATCTTTTTTAAAAGCTGTATTTTCTGCAGAATTTTCCTGGTCACTTTCTGCTCTACTTCATGTTTTGGAGATAGCATTTGGCCTGCTATTTTCCAAGCATTGGGGTTTTCACATTATCTGCTCACTTAACCATTATCTTTATAAGTGATGCTTCAAGTAGGCAGTCTAGTTTTACTTTACCTAGTTCTTCTATGGTTCAAGATAACCTTAGATGTTACAAGCAGGAAAACCATGACCTTCAAAGCATGCACCTTTATTGTAAGGGCCATTTACCTCATAGAACGCCCAGAACGGAGTTCCGACACCTTTTTGGGATGGAACCTTATAGGGTAGGCAAAGCGGATTGTATGACATGTGTGAGTTCTGGCACCTTTTTTTTTTTTTTTTTTTTTTACAAAAAAGCACTGATTTACCTAATGTCAGAAATAACTGATCCTGGAGTAGCATAGGATAAATATTATGATGCTCTCAACTTTATTATTAATTATTTTATAATGATTCCGACCACTGAATGTACATTTTGCATAGGAGTTATACACTAGGTTAGAGGTCCCCAACCTCCTGGGCAGTGGACTGCTACTGGGCTGCAGCCCGTTGGAAATAGGGCCACCAAAGCGGCAGGTGAGTGTACGAAGCTTCATTTGCGCATATGCGGGATTTAGGTTGTGCACACGAAACCATTCCCCCCGCCCAGTGGTGGGATTCATATATGTGAACAACCAGTTCTCTGTGTGGATGCTGCTTCAGGAAGTCCATTCTGGGCCTGGGCACCAAAAACTAGCTACCGGTTCTGCCGAAGTGGTGCGAACCGGCTGAATTCCCCACCACTGAGTATATCTGTTTTTGACCTGGCTCAAAAACAATAACTGTGAGAGGGAACTTGGAATCCTAGTGGATGATCACTTGAATATGAGCCAGCAGCATGCAGCAGCAGCCAAAAAGCTAATACAATCCTGGTTTGTATAAACGAGGCATAGAATCAAGATCATGCGAAGTATTAGTACTGTTTTATAAGATCCTAGTAAGACCACACCTGGAATACTGCAACCAATTTTGGTCACCATACTACAAAAACTAAGCAACTAAGATGATCAAAGGCCCGGAGACTAAAACATATGAAGAACAGCTGCAGGACTTGGGTTTGGCTAGTCTAAAGAAAAGAAGAAATAGGGGTGACATGATAGCAGCATTCCAATATTTGAGGGGCTGCCACAAAAAAGAAGGGGTCAAACTATTCTGCAAAGCACGAGAGGGCAGGACAAGAAACAATGGTTGGAAATTAATCAAACAGAGAAGCAACCTGGAATTAAGGAGAAACTTCCTAACAGTGAGGACAATTAACCAGTGGAACAGCTTGCCTTCAGAAATTGTGGGCGATTTCTGAAATATATATATATATATATATTTATATATAAATTTAAACAAATTAAAAATATATATAAATATATGTTAGAATATAAATTATATGAGGAACAAGTCAAAGAAACGATGGTTACCTGGGCAATAGATTTGGGACACACTATAAATTTGGACCAATGGCAGCAAATTTGGGAACGTAACAATAAAATCACATTGGCGACAACTTATA